GGAAGGAAGGAAGAGAAGTAAAGGAGGGAAGGAAGGAAGGGAAGTAAAGGAGGGAAGGAACGTAGAGAAGGAAAGGAGGAAAGGGAAGGAAGGGAAGGAAAAGAGGGAAGGCAGGAAGGTAATGCAGGAAGGGAAGGCAGGAAGGGAGAGAAGGAAAGGAGGGAAGGAAGGGAACGAATAAAGTCAAGGAAGGAGGGGAAGGAAAGGCAGGAAGAGAAGACAGGAAGAGAGGGAAGGCAGTAAGGGAAGGCAGGCAGGCAGGAGGGAAGGAAAGAGCCCCCCTAGGGCTCCCCTGGCCTGGAATGGCCTGCCTCTATGAGACCCCCTGTTCTGGCCTGGCCTGGACTTCAACTAAGGCCTCTCCTGGACTGGTGTCCCTAGGGACCCCAAGAAAGGAAGAAAGAGGGAGAGAGAGGGAGGGAGGGGTGGGGAAAGAAAGAAAGAAAGAAAGAAAGAAAGAAAGAAAGAAAGAAAGAAAGAAAGATGGAGGAAGGAAAGATGGAAAGAAGGAAATAAAGAGGAAGGATAGAAAGAAGGAAGAAAGGAAAGAAAGAAGGAAGGTAGGTAGGAAAGAAAGAAGGAAGGAAGGAAAGAAGTGAGAAAGGAAAGGAAGGAAGGAAAGGCCGGAATGGAAGAAAGGGAGGGAAGACAGGAAGGGAATGCAGGAAAGTAAGGCAGGAAGGGAGAAAAGGGACGAAGGGAGGGAAGGCAGGAGTGAAGGAAGGAAGGGAGAGAAGGAAAGGAGGTAAGGAAGGGAAGGAAGTAAAGGAAAAAAGGGAAGGAAGGAAAGGCAGAAAGGGAAGGCAGGAAGGGAGGGCAGGAGGGAGGGAAGAAAGTGAGACAGGGAAGGGAAGGAAGAAAGTCAAGGAAAGAAGGGAAGGCAGGAAGGGAGGGAAGGAAGGGAGAAAAGGAAAGGAGGGAAGGTAGGGAAAGAAGAAAGTCAAGGAAGGAAGGGAGGAAGGGAAGGAGAAAGAAAGAGAAAGAGAGAGAGACAGAGAGAGAGAAAGAAAAAGAAAGAAAGAAACAAAGAAAAAAGGAAAGAATCAAAGAAACAAAGAAGAAGAAAGAGCCCCTCTAGGCCCTCCCCCTGCTGCTAAGGGTCCTTTTCTGCTATGGGCCTGCCAGGCCTGCCCCAAGTGCTTTTTTGAACCAGCCTGGCCCCCCTAGGGCCTTAATGGCTTGGAAGCCCTGCCCTAAGTGCTTTCTTGGCCTGGACTGGATCTCAGAGCCCCCCGGGTGGCCTGCCCCTAGGGCCCCTGTGTCCTCACCTGCCACTAAGGGCTGCCCTGGCCAGGCATGCTGCCAGCGGTGTCCTTCCGCTAAGGGCTGGCCTGGCCTGTCCTACCCAAGGAACCCACTGGCCTGGCCTGCCACGTGGCACTCCTTTACTGGTCTCCCCCTTGCAGACCACTGCCATAAGGGCCACCCTGCCACTAAGGGCACCTCTCGCCTGGCAGGGCTGCCCTTAGTGCTCCCTTGGCCTGCCCGGGCACTAAGGGGCCCTCTGGCTGGTAGGGCCCCCTGACCTAGCCTGCCGAAGGGACCAATTGTACCGGTCTTCCGCTATAGGCCCCTGAGGCTGGACTACTGGTAAGGGCACTCTGCTGCTTTCTTTTCTTCTGTTGATTTTTCTTTTATTGTTTGATTCCTGTTTTCTTATTTTTTTATTTTTGGTTTTTCTTTTTCTTTTTCTTCTTTGTTTTTTCCCCCTCTGGTTTTTAAGTATTTTTCTTTCTTGTATTTTTTTTTTTTTTTTTTTTTTTTTTTTTTTTTTTTTTTGTGGATTTTTTTGTTTGTTTCTTTTTATTTTTGCATTTTTTGTATTTTTCTGTACTCTTATTTTTTTTTTTGTTTTTTGTTTTTTGTTTTGGTTTTCCTCCTTTTAAAAAATTTTCTTCCTTTCATTGGGGTTTTCTTCTTTATGGGGGTTTTCTTTCCTGGGGGGTTCTACTTTTTAGGGGGCTTGTTTTTTGGAGGGTTTTCTTTTTGTTAAGGTTTTCTTTTTGTTGGAGTTTTCTTTTTGTGGGAGTTTTCTTCTTGGGGAGTTTTTGGTTTTCTTATTTTCTTTTTTCTTTTGGTTTTCTTCTTTTTCTGGGGGTTTTCTTTTGCAACTTTTGGGGGGTTTTTCTTGTTTTCCTGGGGGATCTTTTTCTCTTTGGGGGAGGTTTCTTCTTTTCATGGTTGGTCTTTTCTTCTTTTCATTGGGGTTTTGTTCTACTCGGGGTTTTTAAAATTCTTTTGGGGGGTTTTCCTCTTTTTGTTAGAGTTTTCTTTTGGGGGATTTCTTCTTTTTGTTCAGATTTTTCTTCTTTTTGTTAGGGTTTCCTTCTTTGGGGGTTTCTTCTTTTTGTTGGGGTTTTCTTTTCTGGAAATTTTTCTTCTTTCCAGGAGTTTTTCTTCTTGGAGATTTTTCTTCTTTTTGTAGTGGGGGGTGTTTCTTCTTTTCATTAGAGTTTTGTTTTTCTCATTGGAGTTTTCTTGTTTTCATTGGGGTTTTCTTCTTTTCATTGAGGTTTTTTTTCTTCTCAATGGTTTTTCTTCTTTTGGGGGCTTTCTCCCTTTTGCTGGCATTTTCTCTTTTTTGTTGGGGTTTTTCTTTTTGTTGTGGGTTTTTTTCTTTTTGTTTGGGTTTTCTTCTTTTGGGGGCTTTCTCCCTTTTGCTGGCATTTTCTCTTTTTTGTTGGGGTTTTTCTTTTTGTTGTGGGTTTTTTTCTTATTTTTGTTTGGGTTTTCTTCTTTTGGGGGGGTTCTACTTTTTGTTTGGGTTTTCTTCTCTTTTGGGGGTTTTCTTTTGTGATGGCTTTTTCTTCTTTTCATTGTGGTTTTCTTCTTTTCATTGGTTTATTTTTGTTGAGGTTTTCTTTGTTTTTGGGGTTTTGTTGTTTGGGGGGGTTTCTGCTTTTTGATGGGGTTTTCTTACTTTGGGGGGATTTTTCTTCCTTCTGTTGGGGTTCTCTTCTTTTTTGACAGGGTTCTCTTCTTTTGAGATATTTTTCTTTATGTTGGGGTTTTCTTCCTTTTTTGGGTGTTTTCTTCTTGAGTGTTTTCCTGTTTGGGGGTGTTTCCTTCCTCTTTTGGGTGTTTTCTTCTTCTTTTGGGTGTTTCTGTACTTTTTTGGTTTCCTTCCTTTTTTGGGTGTTTTCTTCTTTGGGGTATTTTCCTTTCTGGGTGTTTTCTTCTTCTTTTGGCTGTTTTCTTCCTTTTATGGGTGTTTCATTCTTCTTTTGGGAGTTTTCTCCTTTTTGGTTTTTCTTTTTCATCTTGGTGTTTTCCTCTTCTTCTTTTTTCTTAATTTGTTTTTTCTTTTTTTTTCTGTTTGTGGTTTTTTTTCTCATTTTTTTCTTTTTTTCTTTCTTTTTTTTAAATTCATTTTTGGTTTTTTTCTTTTTTTGGTTTTTTCCTTTTTTTGTTTTGTTTTTTTTTCTTTTTTAAGGTTTTTTTCTTTTTCTGATTTTCTTTTTTTGTTTTTGTTTTTTGTCTTTTTTAAAGAAGAGGGGTCTTCATATGATAAAGGGGTGACTGTGAAGGAGTGGCTGGGACAGGGTGGCAGGGACTGGTAGGGAGAAGAGCCCTGATCCCCACATCTCAGATGTCCATGATCTTAATATCACTCTACTTTTCTGCTCAGTAAAACAATGGGAAGCCAGGCTTTTTGCTGAAGCCTTGATGCTTCTGGTATTTCTGTATGTCCTGTGGCAGCTGCATGGTCAGAGGGAAGGGAACAATGAAAACTCACAGGACTGCAGTGCATGAGTCTGGGGTCACCTATCTCCCATGCCAGAGCTGTCTCTCTTCTGGCCCTGGCAACCCCTCTCTCCAGAGGCTGGTGCTGGTGCTTGTCTCCTAGCCCTTCCAGATGGGGCAGGGATTCCCATCTCCTTTAGGTCTCCCAGCTGGCCCAACTTCTTGGCCAGCTCCATCTTCACATTCTGCCCTGAATGCAGCACACTGGTGACCTCCATGTTTTAATTGGTCTGGATGGAGAGAAGCAATCAGCAGCCACCTGATGCAGCTGGAGACCCACAGCACAGGGAAGGAGGCACAGAGTACTGGCTCACAGAGTGACTTCCCAGGTACCATTTCATGTGAAGTCTCCACCACCCCATTTTGTAGGTGGGGATACAAAGGCCCAGGGGGCAAGTATGGAGGGCAGGCTGGCAGGGTGGGTGGCACACCAGCCTGATGAGGCCTATCTACAGCTTAGCCAGCTGCTCCTGGAGCTTGTGGGTCTGGGACAGCACTCAGCTGGTGGTGGTGTGGTGGTACTGTGTGCCCTCCAGCACCTGCCTGCACTGCTTGCCCCAGAGCCCAGCAGCCCACCCCAGCTCCAGCAGCCACTCCTCCTGCTCCCAGTTCAGGTGGCTCTGACCCTCATTGTCCTTTACCTGAGCCTGGAGCTGAGCTCTCCAGCCAGGCTCTCCAGCTGCTTCTGCAGCTGCTTGGCCTCCACCTGCAGCCACCATTCTTCCTAGCCGGGCCTTGCTATAGGCTCGAGGGGTGGAGGCTCATCTGAGAAAGGAAACAGACAATAAGGGCTCTGGCCTCTGGAATTGCAAAACTCTCTTCTTGACCTTCAGCTCCTAATTCAGGCTCCTCGCCCAAGACCATGGCTTCCTGGATAATCATTTCTCACACCCAGATGATGGTCAATTAGTCAAACCACTTTCAAATAGAGTTCTTCACATTCTTGTGCTCAAGACAACTGTGGGTGGCTGACAACAGGAACTCTACCACTCTTTGCAGACAGGGACACTGAGGCTCAGATGACAAGACTTGCCGTCTGCTGGCACACACCTCTTTCTCTTCCACCCACCTGCTCCCAGGCCACCCCAGCCCCAGCTTAACTGTCTGCCTGCTTACATCGGCCAAGCAGGTCTCCAGCTCCTGGACCTGACTCAGGCCATGGTCCTCCCTCAAAGCACGCACCTTTCCAGAGCACAGGGGTGTGGGCCATGGAGAGAGCAGCTGCAGAATGGGCAGGCTGCCACCTTCCTCTCTACCCCACTCCCATAAAACCAAAGTCCTGGGCTGCAGGCAGTCACTTGTTGTGGCAGGGGCTTGGATGTCTCGAGCTTTTTCATCTGGATCTGCAAGGCTGCCTTCTCCATCACAAGGACCCGAAGCTTCCCCTTCAATTGGGACTGGAGACACTTGAGATCCTCATAGGTGTTCCTATGGCCAGAGGTGGTGGAGAATGGAAAGAATGAGTTACAGAAAGGACCACTTTCATGATCAATGCACTGAGTTTGGCACACAACCAGAGGACCATAGCATGGGAAGGGGACTCCAGGAATCAAGAGTCACAAGTGGCAGTCCAGCGAGAGGATATGAATTGCCTGAGGCCATACATGAGTCAGTGGCACAGCTGGGGCCACAGCTTGGCTCTGCACATGTCCAAACCTCTGAGTCCATCTCATCATGCTCACCTCTACCCCTCCCACCTCCCGCCACATCACCCACGCTGAGGGCCCCCAGACCTGCCATCCACCTTCCCCCTCCTACTTGTTGTACTCCAAGTGCAGGTGGAGAACATCTAGTTCTTTTATCAAGTCATGGTAGGACTGCGAATGCAGAAAGGTTAAGTCAGGATTCAGCAGGGAGAAGATATAGTCTGGGCACGCTAACACTGACAAGACCTGCCATCCACCTTCCCCCTCCTACTTGTTGTACTCCAAGTGCAGGTGGAGAACATCTCGTTCTTTTATCAAGTCATGGTAGGACTGCGAATGCAGAAAGGTTAAGTCAGGATTCAGCAGGGAGAAGATATAGTCTGGGCACACTAACACTGACCCCTATAGTAACCATTCGGCAGTAACATTTCCTCCCCCTGAATCACACTTGACTTCTTTTTGAAGGCATTTCCAAGCCCATGTTCTCAGTTTGTTTTACTAAGAATTCAGTAAGAGTGGAAGAGGCAGGAAAAGAGATCTGATTTACAGCTGGCTGACAGAGGCCTGTGGATATCAGGTCATATTGCCATTGTTATTACTATCATCACTGATGTTTGACTCTGTATCGAGCACATCACCAGACACCATGCTAAGAGTCGATTGAGTCCTCACAACTACCATATGAGGCAGTTACTATTATTATCTCCATTTTGTAGATGAAAAAGAAAGTATTAGAGGTTAAGTGCTAAGATCACTTACAGCTGGGATGTGAACATTCAGGTCTATCTAATTCTCTAAGCCCATTTTTCCCCTGGGGGTGGCAGCACAAGCATGAGGGCAGGTGAAGGGCAAGAGGACTTACCCTCTTGGTCTCCTTCTGCCATGTGGAGAAGGTGGTCAGACTCCACTGCATCTCTTTTATCTGCTGCTCACATAAGCACAGGCAGCTTGCCAGATGTTCACACTCCGCTGGAATGACAGAGGTTGAGATGGAGCCCAAAGGACTCCCCCGAAGGCCTGTGAAGGCACCAGGTTGAGTGAGGAAGGGTGCCCAGATTCACGCCTGCTTTCTGCCAGGCCACAAGGGGAGCCTAAGCCAGGGCTCTCTGTAACTGTGTCTTTTCAGACATTAAGACCTCAGTGGTCTGAATCTGAGCCTTTGGGAGAAAAGCCAAACAGGTGCTGAGAGAAAGGGAAAGGACGGTTCTCTAGGGGATGGGAGGGATGCCATACAGTCCACTCACCTGCAGTTGTTCCTGCAGGACACCTAAGGAGTTCACCTGCTGACACCTACTCTCCTGCTATAGCAAGAGGAAAGAAACATCCTTTACTGGGGAGTCAGAGATGCAACAGCAGGGACAGGCCCCAGGAATACAACCAACGGCCCAGGACAGGTCCACCAGTGAGACCAGATTCTCAGGGACCCCGTGGGGTTGAGGGTAGGGTGCAGGGGGTGAGCCGTGTCCAGGTCAGGAGTGGGCAAGACATGCCTGGGGCCTCTCCCTCTGAGTCTTTCCCCAAACCCATCAGCCATGGAACGAGCAAACAAAGAAATCATGTTCCTCTTTCCAGCTGATCTAGAGTTTCCTGGTGCCATTTTTTATGTGTGGAGAGTGACAGGAAAATCACTGAGGTTGTCCCGCCAGCTCCATTCCCCAGATCAGAGTGGTGGGCAGGGTCAGGAATGGATTTTCAAGGAAAAGCTCTCAGACCCTGTGAGGATACAAAAACTCTCCTCAAACTCCCAAGGAAAGAGAATTTGGGTCTTTGTTGGTTTTTGCTCACAGCCACAGAGCTGTATGTCTGAATCTGGATTCTCTTTAAAGGAGAACTACAGAAACCTCTGGAAATGGAGGCTGAGAAAAGAAAGACTACCCTTTTTCCAGCTTGTAAGTCAGAAGGGTGCATGTATTCACCACAAACCATACACTACAGGACAGGGACTGTTCTCAAAAGCAGGGATCCAGGAATGAAAAGGACAGGCAAGATCTCTGTCTCCCTGACATCTCGTGTGCACCTAGAAATCTTTTATTCTTGGAGCTAAAAGGGACCTTTGACACCCTCTAATTCTATCTCGCAGCACTTAAGCCTAGGCAGGAGAGACGGCTTGTCCAAACCAAAGACAGAGCAAAACAGGAACTAAGTCAGGGTGGGAACACATGGCTTCTGACAACAGTCAGTCTAGTGTTTCCAGCAGAGGAACAGCCCAGGGCAAATGTGGCGAGGACTCAAGCAGAGGAGTCTGGAGAAGAGAGAGTGGGCAGACAGGGTAGCAACAGAAAGATCCATGCTGCATGGTCTGGGGTCCCTCCTGCTGAGACCTAGACCCTGCAGAACCCCATTATCTCTTGGCACCAGCGGCCTCCAGCCCCTTTCTTCAGAGCCACAAGGGGAAATGGGAGCCCAGGATTGGCAGCATGGAATCAGGGACCACACTGGACCCTTAACAATTTCTCAATCATGCTCCTTAGATGTTTGTTTTCTATGTAGCTGGAGTACCAGGCTTCTGCCTGATCTAGGCACCAGCTCTGAGGCACCTGCAGAGAGGAGGAGTTGGAGGAGGGCTGGGAGGAGAGGCAGAGAGAGCAATCATTAGGGGTGGGGGTGGGGACTGTTTCAGCTGGCAGCGGGGCACCCAGCCCCCACCGTGGGAGGCAGTCAGGAGGCTGGCCTGAAGGGTCACTTACCTCCAGCTCCTTCATGTAAACTGAGTCACAAAGGTCTCCCCACTGATGTACGATGTGGGTTAGAAGAGATGAAAGCATATATGTAGATACAGCTCTCGTGTACTTTTTTTTTTTTGGTGGTGGTGGCCAGTACAGAGATTGAGCCCTGGACCTTGGTGTTATCAACATCACCCTGTGCTTTCTGCAGCAGGATCTAATGAGATAGCCAAGCTCATGGTCCATCTTTGTGTGTACAGCTTCAAGGGAGAAAACTCAGAATAGAGTCCTAAATCATATCCCTAGCAGAGGGAGAGGTAGGATTCAAACCCAGACTTCGTAACCAGTACCTGACATGTCTTCTATGATCTTTACCATTACCTCCTACTGCCCTTTGAGCCCCCTGTTCCCAGGAGCCTGACCAGCTAAGACTCACCTCCTTAGGTGACTGGCAACCCCCAGAAGTGGTTAAATCAGGGCTACTGACAGTTTTCATTTTGTTCTTTGTTCCTGGAGGACCACCAGGACTGTTTCTCAGTTGGTAATCTCTTAACTGTGAAAAGGAAAAGCAGTAATATTCAGGAGATCTATAAGCCCATATACTTGCATCCTACTTTACAGTTTTTACAAAATATTCTTACTTATACCATCTGAATTAATGCTTTCAGCAACCCTATAAAGTGTTGTAATGATTAATAAATGGCTGAAGAAATAGATTGATAACATGACTAAAAAAGCAATAATGGAATTTAACTTCAGTCTTCCGGGGCTTTGTCATGTATCAGCAGCTGCCAGGTGGCAAAATACAAATCAGACACTGGGGTCTTCTCTTACAGAGCTGTGAGAGCTGCACACCAGTACTTCTCAAATATTTATGTCAATGTATCCTAATGGCAGAAGTCAGTGAAGGCACACCCCTAGAGATCTGGGGACCTAACAAAAAGAGGACAACCCAAGCCTCATTTCAGAGAAAAGTCTATTACGATCTTACAGATCTAGGCAAATGTCACCCCTAAGTACATTAATAGGTTTTTTTCTCTCTTAAAAGAATCAAGCAAATGCGATGCTTCAGAAAGATGCCCCCTATGAATTCTGTGGCACCCCAGATTGTGATGATCTGGGTCTATTACGATCTTACAGATCTAGGCAAATGTCACCCCTAAGTACATTAATAGGTTTTTTTTCTCTCTTAAAAGAATCAAGCAAATGCGATGCTTCAGAAAGATGCCCCCTATGAATTCTGTGGCACCCCAGATTGTGATGATCTGGGCAAGATTCAAGCTGTGAAGTTCAGTTGCCCAGGATTTGTTCCGCTGGAGATAAGCACGTCTCCCTCCAGAGAGCACTGACTGAAAGGCACTCTTGGTCCCAGAATCCTAGGGAATTCGAATGTGAGATACAGACTTAGAAATAAATTGTAAAGTGTCTCCAGAGAATAGAAACCCGGGACCAAGCCAAACCAAACCCATTCTCCCAATTGTCACCCAGAGATATTAGCAACACTTTGAGCTCATTGGTGAAGTGTAAGCTTTCAGGTTGAAAAGCTAAGTGAAGGGAGTAAGGAAGCCAGAAACCTCTTGGTCCTGGGTCCCCTAGTCCCGAGTACCCTTCCAAATGGAAATTTGTGCCATGACCAGCGAAGCCAGAAAGGGGATGAAAACACTTAGGGGACGGGGTCATCAGGTCAAAGGCTGGGCTCCAGGCAGTAATGACAGGGGGTGCCTGGTGAGAGCAGGGGCTGGACTGCTGAGGGGACAGGGATGACTGAGAAAACTGGTGGGGGGAGTCAAGAGGCACGGAGGGGCAAGCCCCATGTGCCTCAGAAGTGACACAGAGTTCTGTCCCTGTCCCACCATGAGAGGGGCCTCAGGCTGGGTTCAGGGCATGCAACCCAACATGTTAGACCTTTTTCTTGGCCATAGCCAATTTCCTCTGTTGGGTTTCTTCTGATATCTCAGGGCAGGGAAAAGGAAAGGAGGGCTGCATCACCATCATCCGAGCACTGTGGAATGGCTTCCTTCAGCTAACAGCGCAGATGTGCAACTGAGCCAGAGCTGGTGGGAGCTCAGGTACTAGGCAACACTGAAGTGGGCATGGCCTCAATGCTCACAGCCCATCGGTGATGAGAAAGGTGAAACTAATGGGGGCATGGCCAGGACACAGAGAAGGGTGGAGTCACAATGAAAGCTGTGATTGCTGGCCCCGCCCACTCCAGAGAGGGAGTCCCCCCCCTTGGGGAAATGGGAGGGACCTCTTGCTTGGTGCCCATGCAGCTCCTGTGTGACCCTCCATGGTGGTTATCACAAAATTTAAGGCACCCAGCAGTGCAGAGAGGCTACTCTCCAGCCACCACCCTGGACCCTCCTGTGCCAGTTCAATCCCTCACTGGGGGGCATAGGACCCCAGGGCTCAGGAGATGGGCGAGAAATGGACAGCAGGGGAGAGTGTATCACTTCACAGTCCCTTTCCAGACTCCTCAAAGCTCTGCCTCAGACTTTCTCATCCCGGACACTACCTCCAAAGACCCCCATCCAGTCCTCTGGATGCTTCCCCACTAGCCCCTTTCCTTGAGAGTCCCTTCACTGATCCTGGGAGCATAGCTGCCCCCTCCCAGCTGGGCCCCATCCAGGTCACTCCTGCTTGCCAGCTGCTCCTCCTCTCACACCCACAGCACCCCCTTCCTCCCAGCTCAGGCTGTGAGTCCCATAAGCCTTTCCCCTTGGATGCCTCAAGACCAAACTGGGGGGGGAGGGGTAAAACCATAAAACTCAGAAGAATACATAAGTGTAAATCTTCATGATCTTAGATTAGGCAATGGGCCCCTGCTGTTAAGGGCACCCTGTTACTATGAGTACCCTGCTGCTAAGGGCCCCCCTGTCCACTCCTGGCCTGCCACTGGGTCCCCCTGGTCTGGCCTGTCACTAGGGATGCAACTGCCCCATGCTTTCAGCCTGGCCTGCTGTTAGGGGTCCCCTATTGTTTTGCCATAAACACCTAGCCAAGATGGTCAGAGTCTGCACCTGTTGTCTCTCCCCATTAGACAGGTTTTCTTTTCTACTTTATTTTTTTCTCTTCTTTATTTCATGTTTTCCTTTTTTTCTTTATTATTCTTACTCTTTTTTTTTTTTTTTTTTTTGTCCCTTTCCC